GACACTTATTTAAAATTACCAGGGGAAAAAATGAATATCAGAGATCTACCAGTAATACATTTTACTTGACAGCTGTCAAAAAAATCATGTTAAATGCTCCATCTGGATTTTCCACCTACAGACATTTCCCCCCAACATCTTTTAATTTCCTGGTTAAGAATAAGGAAATGTACTAAAAGTCCTGATTAAGGACTAAAGCACATGGGATGTTCAATATGTATTCTGTAATTTAGAATGGCTTTAAAAAACGTACAATTAAGAATGTCTGGTCCCAATATGCATCAGGACTCCGTCATTCAATGCAAGAAGGCTTAACACTCAACCCATTTCCCAAAATTTGGGAAGTTACTTTTAAAAACGATTTCTTTCCATTATTCATTTTAGTGTTTGAAGGATAACTCATTGCCTTTACTTATTGCAGTGTTGAAAAGAGTAACCCAGGGTGTTACATGTTATGCAGCCTGCCAGTCTGCTACCAAGCACAATTCAAAGTGCTGGCTTTAGCCTATAAATCCCTAAATGGTTTTGGTCCAGCTTATCTATCCGAATGCATCTCCCTTTATAAGCCAGTTAGAGCACTAAGATCAGCTGGGGAGGTCCTGCTCTCGGTCCCACTGCCTTTGAAGGCACAACTGGTGGAGACGAGAGACAGGGCCTTCTCGGTGTTGGCCCCTTGGCTGTGTAACTCCCTCCCCAACAAGATTAGATCGGCCCCCTTCCCTCATGGCACTTAGGAAACAACTTTAAACCTGGCTATTTAAACAAACATTTGGTGAGTGTTCGTAATATTGAAGCAGTTAGATGACAACCTTGGAATAGGTGCAATGTTTACAATGTTTTATGTTTACGTTTTTGATGTTTTTATAGTTTTTAATGGTTTAATTTACAGTTATATGTTACTGTTTTAGATATGCGATGTACTGTTTTTATTATATGTGAAGCATTGAATTTTAGCCATTTATTATGATGTCCACTGCTTTGAGTCCCCCAGGGGTGAGAAAAGCAATATAAAATGTAATAAATAAATATATAAATAATTTTCTTTTAAAATAGAAAAAAGAATAGTATAATATTTGGGAATAACTTGAGAAATACATTTTTAAAGTACTGTAAGGCTGGAAAGGGTCAATTCACTTCTACTCATTTTTCCAGTTTGGAAATGTAGCAATGCTATCTCCTTTCATTACTTAAAAAGTAAGTAGTTGCCAGTTTAATTTTGTTGTTTATAACATGTTCTTTTGACGTTCTGCCCACTACAAATGTAGTAGTAAAAAGTAAAGGTTTAAGTGCAGTGGTGTCTGACTCGGGGAGTTGGTGCTCATCTCCATTTCTAAGCCGAAGAGCTGGTGTTGTCTGTAGACATCTCCAAGGTCATGTGGCCAGCATGACTCCATGGAGCACCGTTTCCTTCCCGCCGGAGCGGTACCTATTGATCTACTCACATTTGCATGTTTTCAAACTGCTAGGTTGGCAGAAGCTGGGGCTAACAGCGGGAGTTCACCCTGCTCCCCGGATTCAAACCTGCAAGCTTTCAGTCAGCAAGTTCAGCAGCTCAGTGGTATAACCCACTGTGGGCTTTATTGGCATTGAGAATAAACCAGAAAGGAGACAACAGGAAAATAGTCCTTTCCCAAGGTGATAAAATACCTTACATATAATATTAGGTTTTTCTCCTTCTCCATATAGCTTCCTTGAAAAGAGATTGTGAGCATAATGGCAGCTGTGAACTTTGTATAAAAGCAGTTCATTGTTTTTGCATGCATGTTTTTAATTCATCTGTGCCACTGTAGATTCTTTACTGTTTTCAACCTTATTCAACTTCCCTTCCTCTGACCTCTCTTCCTCTTAAGTAACAGCATTTGTCACGATGACACCAGACAGTCCTATGACTCAGTACAAGAGAATAGCTTTTAACTTCATTGTAGGCTGTCAACGTGTCCACAGAAGGGCCTGTTAAGGGGTGATGAAAGGATATTTGTATCTAATTTGCTGGTTTCTGTACAGTTTGAGCCACATAAACATAATTCAGATTTTCATAAAATTAATTTTAATTATCTCAAAGAGATACCAAGATAACCCCTCCTGAGGTAAAAACTTTCCACCCACTTGCTGTCTGGCTACAAGAAGAGAGAATATCAGGGCCTTGATGGACTTGGAAAGAAAATCTCAAGTTTTATATACCTCATGGGATTTGTATTTTTCAGACTTCTTTTTGTGTTTGGCTGTTTTGTGAGCTACTCTAAACCTTTAAAATTTCAGATTTGACAATCAACAGCAAAAATATGAATCAGGCATATAATAAAGGGATGCAGATATGCCTAATATATATCTCTAGAGAAGGCACGAAAGAGAGTCTGGTGTCTCTCTTGCCCAATATGTCTAAAGGAAATTATGAGAATGCTTCTATGAGGTTGTGAAACCCCCAAGAATGTAATATAAGAATTTCATGTGTGTATATGTGTTGCCTGTTGACCTATGGTGACCCTATGCATTTCATAGTTTTCTTAGGCATGGAATGCCAGTACCTTCCTCTGAAAAATAACCCACAGCAGCTGGTATTTGTGATATTCTCCTTTCCAAGTGCTTACCCTGTCTGACCCTGCTTCGTTTCAAGGATCAGGCCATATGCAGCGCCTCATTGGTATTTGAGCCCAAGAATTACATATACAAATAAAAAAATAAGTATTTCATCTAAAGATAGGAACATTTGCAGTGCCTGGCATGGAGATGAAGCATCTCCACTTATATCTTTTAGATACTTCTGGCTACTAATATCTGAGGAGAGACTGTTTTCATTGACTTCTGTCACATGTCATGAAAGGCCAAGTGTTCTGCTGTGTTGCAGTGACTAGTGAATAAAATTGCTCTTTCACCTATATAACTTCGGTATTTTGGATGGGCAGGGATAATATAATAAAGGTAAAGGTTTCCCCCTACATTAAGTCAATTTGTGTCCCACTCTGGGTGGTGGTGCACATATCAATTTATTTATTTATTTGCTTTATTTCTATACCGCATTTTTCAGCCTAAATTGGCGACTCAATGCGGTTTCAATTTCTGAGCCAAAGAGACAACATTGTCCGTAGATGCCTCCAAAGTCATGTGGCTGGCATGACTGCATGGAGCGCCGTTACCGTCCTGCCAGAATTGGACCTGTTGACCAACTCACATTGACATCTTTTGATATCAGACTGGCCCCCTCCCTCTAGTCCTTCTCAAAGAAACTTAAAACCTGGTTATGGGACCAAGTGTTTGAATAGTAATGGCAGCAATCGGGAATAAGAGACAATGTAGTATGAATGACAATTGACTGATCCAGACTTTGATTTTAAACCTGCGTGATTTTAAACAATTGTTTATTAATGCAATGTTCTAATGAAATGTTTTAAATGTATTTTATGATTGTATTTAGCACTCAAATGAGTGGTTGTTGTGAATCTGCACAGAGTCCCCCCTCGGAGGTGAGAAGGATGGGGTACAAATGTACGAAATGAATAAATAGGTTGGCAGAAACCAGGGCTAATAGTGGGAGCTCATGCCGCTCTCCGGATTCAAACCGACGACCTTTCGGTCAGCAAGTTCAGCAGCTCAGCACTTTAACCCACTGTACCACTGGGGGGATAATATATAGAATCATGGAATCATAGAGTTGGATGAGACCTCATGGGCCATCCAGTCCAATCCCTTGCCAAGAAGCAGGAAAATTGCATTCAAAGCACCCCCCAACAGATGGGTGTGTTGGAAAAATCACATTTTGAGAGAACTCAGCCTGCAACAAGTCCCTAGGGAACAAAATTAGCCTTGGATCACTGTATTTTACCACTGTTAAAATTCACCAGGCTCTCAGTCCAATTTTGAGTTGAAATCATGGTGCTTCTGCTGGCCCAGAAAGTTCTATGTGGAGCCCAGACACCAGAATGAATGCTTATTCTCACGTCAACCTCCAGATAAGCTGAGGGCATCTGATGATGTTCTGTAAGTGGCTGAGAATTGCACATTTAGAATCAATTGGAGTAAACTGTGGAGGTGACACAGATATTTGACCTGAACGGGATCTGCCAACAGTTTGTTTATTTTAACCTCTTTTATTTTAACCTCTCTTATACCGAGCGTTGTATGTTGTATGACTATGTGTTAAATGTGTTATGTGTTAAATGTTTTGATACGGCCAATAGGCCAATCAATAAAACGTATCGCTATCGCTGTAAGTGGCTTACAGTTAAGGAGAAGGTTTTTTGTTCTGTTCTGTTTTTGTTTTTTACCATGATGGAACCTATCTTTGGAGCTTATTATTAGAGAGGCATTTCTGGAACTAAGCTCGCAAGTTAAGTACCAGTCTGGGCTTGGGGAGTGCAGGTCCCTGAAACCTTGAGTTGGCCCCATTTGGGTGAATGTGGTGATATCATTAAGCAGTATATACTAAGCATCAGGTTGCCAGACTCAAAACTGGAGAGAACCCCAATACTTTTAATGGCTGTGTGAAAGAAGAGATTTTAGCAAGTGTTTCTTGTTACCTAGTTGCGTGTCAAGAAACACCTAATGAAATTCCCACCGCTGCACAACCATTAAAGACAGAAGAACCCATTCCAGGTTTCCACCTGTGAACCCTAATTAAATATCAACTTTTTGTGGAAAGCAATGTCTCCATGATGTTTATAGCATTTCCCACCCATATCCCTCTGCAATGGACTTCATATGGATCAACTGTCAAATACAATTTTTCCTTTCATTATTTCTTTCTCCGTCTCTTCCTTTTTCCCCCCACCTTCTTTTTCTCTGTCAAGTATTGTAGGCCAGGTAGAAGTGTGCGTTTGTGTGTGTGTGTGTGTGTATATAAACAGGATATTATTAAATAACACAGTAACTGAGATGGATAATCCTAAGAATGTGTGTTTTGTATATTCTAAACGTAGTTGAAATTGAATATTTTGCCTCCTTCAAAATAAAGTGCCATATGCTTTTTCTAATCACTTTTAATATTTTGTTCTTTTCATGAACAGGTATTATATTGGCCATCGAATGTTCATAGTAATATCTGAACCAGACATGATAAAACGTATCTTAAAGGAAGAATTCCAAAACTTTACTAACCGTATGGTAAGTAGCTAGTATTTGTTGCTCTCCATGTTGCTTTACTGTTGTCTTTCCATCAGTTAACCACAGAAAAGCCCAAAAAAGCATATTCAATCATTTTTAGTGTTTTAGTAAATATACTACAGAATGCAGAATGACTCCCAAGTTTTCCAGTGGATAACTGCAGATAATAGAAAACTCTATATTTGGACTACATCTGACTGGATTCAGACCATAGAATAGCGTTGGAGGACCTAGAGATCCCCAAAAACACTTTCAGTGGAGATATTTTGGAGTGTGGATAAGTAAAACCATAGATATTGAATTTTTGTGGATAAAGGGATTGTATTATATGAAGTAAAACTCTCTAAAGAGGTCCAAATACCCCCAGGACCACTGCATAGTGCTTTTAGTACCCTTCTACGCTGTCCTCATATCCCAGGTTCTGATCCCAGGCTATCTGCTTTGACCTGGATTATATGAGTTGTTGTCGATTTTTTCGGGCTATATGGCGATGTTCTAGAGGCATTCTCTCCTGACGTTTTGCCTGCATCTAATGTGGATTATATGGGTTTATACTGCCAGATAATTTGGGCTAAGCAGATAAGATGCTGGGATATAGGGCAGTCTAGAAGGGGGCCCAGATTATATGGCAGTGAAGACTCATATAATTCAGTTCAAAGCAGATAACCTGGGATCAGAACCTGCGATATAAGTAGAATGTAGAATGGACCTTAGACTGAGCTCCATGACTACTACTCTAAAGTAGCTAAGAGTGAGACCAGGGTAGCAACGCCTCCACTAATTTTTCTCCCCATCACTTGGAGGTTGTCAGAGGTCAAAACTGAACATGAGGCTATCTTAAGATAGTAGTCATGCCACAGTAGGGAAGGGCATTTGACCTAAATCCATTTGTTAGTGACAACTAGAAACTAGTCTACTGAATCAGTGAGAACTTGATAATTCAGCAGTTCGGTAACTTCCATTGCTAGGCCTGACAATTGGATTAAGATTGGATCTTTAAAAACTTGCAACGATCGCAATGTATGAATTACTGTGTTTGAACATTTGTAAGGGCCCTATAAGACCTAATCATTCATAAAGTATCATAGAAGGCAAAAAAAATTATATTAGTTATATTAGTGTCTGAATCGACACTACATAGTGGTCCCATGGTTTCTGCTGGGATGTGGTTCCAGGATACCCATGGATACCAAGGTTCATGAAGGTTCAAGTCTTTTTGCATATAATGGCATATGAAATATATGCCAATGAGAGCTTGAAGATCTATGAAATGGTAGAAAGCTACAGCAGGTATGCTTACATATCAGTGTAGTGCTCAGTACATGGCAAAATCAAGGTTTACTTTTGGATTCCCCCCCCCCCCCAATATTTTAGAGCTCTGGTTGGTAACACTTGTGGATTCAGAACCTGTGGATATGAAGAATGATGGTACAAGAGATTGTGTAACTTACTTGAAATTGTTGATTTTACAGTTGATTTCAGGGAACAGGCCGTTTTTTTTCTGTCCATTGAGACCTTGAGATGTGATACACCTCCCTTTCTGCCATTTTCATTTTGCCCTAACACTGCTAGCTGCCCTGATTTTGCGAGGGACAGAACACACAATGTGTACCCCAGAATCAGTTCTTACATTCTCTGCTGCAAAGCATTGCATATTCTAGGAAGGCTTGGAGCTGCCTTGCTGAGTTGGCTGCATAAAGTGTCACTAACTGAAATGCCGAGCTGTAGCCATTTCAACAATAAATAGCATTTAAAACCCTCTTTGACATTGACACTGAATCTCTGATGCAGTCACCTAAGTCAGCCTTGCTCCCTACAGCATTTCAGTTTTTAACAAAATGCTCTGAATTTACATAAACTGAAAGAACAAGTCTTTCTAAAATGCAGAGTTCTCTATCATTTTTACCTCTCCCCTTCTACATAATTCCCTCCCCTTCTATATAATTCAGTAAGAATTTTATTTTTATTTTATTCGATTACTACCATTTAACAGAATACTTTCTCTAAGAAGCTCAGGAATAACCTAAAAAGAGCAGTGCTTGTTTGTTGTTATTGTTTATTCGTTCAGTTGCTTCCGACTCTTCTTGACCTCATGGACCGGCCCACGCCAGAGCTCTCTGTCAGCTGTCACCACCCCCAGCTCCTTCAGAGTCAAACCCGTCACTTCAGGGATACCGTCCATCCATCTTGCCCTTGGTTGGCCCCTCTTCCTTTTTCCTTCCATTTTCCCCAGGTTGTAACCATTTATAATCCCAAAGACGTTGAAGAGTTGAAGTTATGAAGTGTTCATGATATCTAAACTGTCAAACCATTGGATAATTATGATTGCATTAGAATCAACATGGATAATTTGGATGGATGGATAGATAGATAGACAGACAGACAGAGAGTTTTGAAAGACTGCTATCCTCTCTGTATGTGTATACAGATGAGATCAGGAGTGGTGGCCAAATTGTGGTCCTTCAGATGTTACATTTTTAGGGGCCACGAGATCCTTTTTTCCCCCTGTTGCTTTTTAAAGGTGTCCAAGTCGGGGACCACTGCTACATCATGTACTTGTGCAATTCATCATTTTATTGATCATTATAGCTTATTTATTTTTGTACAGTTGGTTCTCTACATTTGCAGGATTAACATTTGCAGATCTGATCATTTGCAGAATTGATAATGTTCTTTTTGGGAATCTCAGGGTTCTCCATAGCATCTCTATGGTCAACCTCAAAGTATTCCTGGAGGACCCAGATATTTCTAGAGAATAGGCTTGAGCCCAGATCCATTTTCAGCTGTTCCCTTTGGCCATTCCAGCTTCTTCAGTTTGATCCAGTGTCCGTAACGGCAAGGGCCCAACCATCACAGAATCCCCTCCAAAAAGGACCACGTGGCAGCCGACTCCTCCTCCCCTATTCGGCATCACAGTTGAATATTTTTGATTTTCCTTTATTTTCCTGATTCTTTTTATTTAGTGGGACTGACTGGGAGTTGGGGGCCTGAAGGACAATGGGTGGGCTGTGCGTGTGCACGTTTGGGGGCTTTAATGACTCATCCTTTATCTTCTTTTTCTCCTTCCCTTCCTTTCCTTCAGAAAACACTTCTAAAAGATTATTATTAATAATAACAGTAATCCCAGCAAACAAAAAGAGAAGCATACCTCTCCTTAGAGTAGAAAATAGAAGCAGCTTTAAGGAAGTAAAACCTCAAGCAGAATATATCTCTACTGCAGGCAGTAGAGAGGGGATTTTTAAGGTAGTCCAGAGAGGATAGCTCCACTGAGCTCCAGGTCACTGCTCTTCCTTCCCTGGGCCTCCTTAAAATGCCTTGGAAAGCTGTGTGGTGTCCTGCTGGTGCTGGGAGAGAAAGCGTGCATGTGTGCCTGCCTCTCCTCTAGAGTAGAAACTGCTTTCAAAAGCATTAAACCCAGTCTCCTCTGCAAACAGAAGGGAAAGGATCCAGAAAGAGTGGTATCTTAACTATGATGCTTTTTGAAATCCAGGTCTTATTGAAGCAAATGGAAGGGGAGCCTGTGGGAACTCCCCCCACTTTCCCTATGACATACATCCCTTTTTTTAACCGCTTTCTCTATGCCATGAATACATTTTATTATATCATGTCTTTCTCTTCCACTTAGAGGTTTTTTTCCCTTCATTAAGTAGTCCAAAACATTATTGCCTCTCTCTGTATTGGAGTTACTCCACTCCCTTGATCATTTTGATTGCCCTTTCCTAGGCTGTTTTCCTGCAATGCTTTAAGTTGGTCTTCCTTTGAGTTTTTACCAACTCTGTCTTTGTTTGCTGGTGTATGTTTCTTGGGTCATAATACACGAGATATAATGATATTCCTTGTTTATTTTTCATTTATAGTTTCACCTTTGAGAATTTTGGAACCAATCAATGTTTTTTCATAATGAAAAGGAGAAAAACAATCAACTCTATGAATAAGGATGTGTGTGTTTTAAAAAGCTACCTTTGCAAGGTGTTTTTTTTTTTTGCTGAGCAGAGATTTGAATAGCTAAGCACAACCCAGATTAAACAAGTTTCTGATCATTACTACATGATACTATCCAGGCCCCAGAGACTCATATTACCAGCAGATCTGTTCTGTCTTTCCCCGCTACCCTACAGATTCCCTCTGTTTTAAGGAACCTTTGAACTTATTCTACATTTATTGACAAAGTATCATCATTATAGCATAATTGACAGTTCTTGTACTGTTGACTCAGCATGTTTTAAGGAGCTACATTTTCTGAAGGCCATTATATTAAGAGTTCTGCTTGCACCTTAAACATTTCAACCAGGCTTTCTTTGTATAAGACTCATGAAATAAATACTTCGGAAGGCCTTGCATGCCTTAGGGCAGTGGTTCTCAACCTTCCTAATGCCGTGACCCCTTAATGCAGTTCCTCATGTTGTGGTGACCCCCCAACCAAATTTGACACAATTACTAGATACACCCAAATTTGAATACTGGTGGGGTTGGGGGGAGGGTTGGTTTTGTCATTTGGGAGTTGTAGGTAAAGGTTTTCCCCTGACATTATGTCCAGTCATGTCTGACTTGGGTGTGGTGCTCATCTCCATTTCTAAGCCAAAGAGCCAGTGTTGTCCATAGACACCTCCAAGGTCATGTGGCCAGCATAACTGCAGGGAGCATGGTTACCTTCCCACCTGGTACTTATTGATCTACTCACATTTGCATGTTTTTGAACTGCTAGGTTTGGCAGAAGCTGGGGCTAGCAATGGGAGATCACTTTGACATATGCGATGTATAGTTCACCTTCAATCAAAGAGCATTCTGAACTCCACCAATGATGGAATTGAACCAAACTTGGCACACAGAATTCCCTTAACCAACAGAAAATACTGGAAGGGTTTGATGGGCATTGACCTTGAGTTTTGGAGTTGTAGTTCACCTTCATCCAGAGAACACTGTGGACTCAAACAATGATGGATCTGGACCAAACTTGGCATGAATACTCAATATGCCCAAATATGAACACAGATAGAGTT